TGTGTGTGTGTGTGTGTGTGTGTGTGTGTGTGTGTGTAACCGGTATTGCTGAATGCAACCATCAACACTGTCAGAATGATGGTGCAGCAGTTACATATCTCCTTCTTTCCAGCTGAACATTATCCATTTTGTTTTCCAGTGAGCGGACGTTGGAGAGCAGGATTGATGGAAGCATAGGTTTGTGAGATTATAACAAGATGATGATATATAAGGTTAAAAAAATAAATAAAATTATGCATCATTCGAGGAGAAGGATGCTGCTTTAAGGCCTCTCAAACTTACTATAAAATTGAAAAGCTTTCAATAAATGTATAGTCAAAGTTTTTTTTCCAGTGGTTTGTTTTATGATTTGCCTTTTATAATGTCTTTTGTCTAGAAATCTTGCCCTGCAATATTTCTTTTTGCATGTTTGTTTTATTTATTTCAAGCCAAAATTCTCATTTATTTTTTTCTTTCTGCATGTTTTGGAAATTACATTTTTTCCTGCGCACACTGTCCCAATTCTCCACAGACTGGTCTTTGCAGGGTTTTTTAACAGTTTTCTGAAATACATTTTAAACATTACAAGGCCCAATAACACATGAAAAAGTGGGATTTTAGTATGTTTTGAAGCGGGTAGAGGTTAATTGTTATTAGAGAGGGTGGGGTAAATAGAAAGGTCCAAAACTTCCATTATTATGAGTGTAAGAGTTGGAAAGCAGCACACACCCCTCCAAATTGTACATATAGGCCAGTATAGGTGAGGCTGATCTTTCAGATTACAGTTTGAATACTGGTTAAGATTCTCAGTCATCCAGGTCCTAGTCATTCCAAAAAAAAAAAGAAAGTTAAAAACAATAAACTGGACTTTGTTTCCAAGTTTAAGATGTTTCGCTTCCCATCCAGGGAGCCTTTTCTATTTAAAATGTCAGGAATAGCGTTGAGTTCGAGGTTTTATACAGTAACCGATCAAAACCTTGTTTTTGTTTTGAAAACATGCAAACTGAAACGGACGAAGGGGTCCACTCCTTTAGAATGGGGGTTGTTTGGCTTCTTTTGTTAACCTGCAAAGCTAAGAAGATCGTACAGTTTAAGCATATTCTCTCCTAACTTGGTTACAAAACAAGAATAAACCATTTAACTCTTATTCAGCATTCAGGAAACATTAGTGTTAAACGGTGAACTAACAGATGTTAAGGTTCAGAGTGTTTTTATATATTTTTTGTAGATACTTGTTTTCAGCTGAATGTAGAATCTAAAACAGAGGGACAGTTTTAAACAGAAGCAGATAAAATTTTAACCATAGGAGAAACAGCTTAATAATAAAAATTTTTAAGCTGTCTGCTCTTGGACTGTAGACCATGCCATTTATGATCACAATTTTTTAATGCATATGAAATTACTTAATCAGACAAAAAATCCTATGCCCACTGAGGAAGCCCATCTGCCCTGATCCACATGTGATGTAATCCAAGTTGAAAGAAGAGAACCCCAAACCACGATGGTTCTGCTTATGGAGAGAATAAAGCAATGCAAACTGGGTGCAATCAGCTCCTCTGCTGTTCTGTTTGAAGCAAATGAATATGGCACCTGTTTCTAAGGCAGAGAAATCCCCTTGTAATCATTTAAAGCTCCAAGAAAAGAAAAAAAACAACAAACGCATTCATGTTGAAAGTCTGTGGTTCCCCTCCTGCTGCAAATGCAAAAGCTCCATGATTTTACCCACAGCCAATCAGCATCTATTACACGGATGTCTTATGAACAGCTCTCTCTAGTCACTTTGAATCATAAGCGTAGCTCTAATCATGAAATATCATATCTGAACCATCATCAGCAAATGTAGGGTGCAGGATCATGGAGACGGCGACCTGCTATTAGAAACACCTGTTTTCCATGACTTCAAATAATGAGCAGGGTGAGGCAACAAAGAAGGCGTGCATGATTTCAGAATTTGGCCCATAGCTGGACATCATTTTCAATAATTATTCGCATTATCTGTCTGCTTTGTCTCATTCCAACAATATTAGCTGCTCCCACACATCTTTAACCCAAGTTTACTTCTTGGTCTTTGGAATCAGAAACTTAATACAAAGCAGGTCTAGCTTTTTTTACCATAACTATTAATCAGGCTCCTAACTCGAAAAGTATGGTCAGGCATGAGTGAGAGCCAGTCGGCCTTTTATCGTGGCGTCTTCAGTTAGAAACAACACAAGCAAAAAGCACTGTTGACGGATTAACGGTTTGACGTAGCATGGCCTGCCAGAAAACCAAAAGAAGTGAACATCCAAGCCTGGGTGTTTTAACAAGATCCTCTGACAGGGATGACGGTTTGGGCCCAGTTTGAGTAAGAGCACTTTTAACATAAGATATCCAATAATCCCCCATTCTCTGATCACATCTCACACATTTAGGACTCTGAAGTTGCTCTCTGGGGAACTGTACTGAATCCGAGAATGATCAAGAGTACTGATGATTTTCAAAGCGACTCAACACTCTGAGCTGATACTGAATTAATTTCTGAGCCTGGAGCATCTGGTCTACATAAAGAGGGAAAGTTTATATCATACAGTTTGATAGAAAATCCTTGGTAAACTATTGCCCTCTTGTGTTTATTCTTCTCTTGTGCTTTAGATTCAATATTGAATGTTACTTACTGGAAACAGTAGGCAGATAAACGCTATGCAGAGGTGTTATGGTGTGTTAAT